TTTGTCACTATAGAAATGACATGTTTTAAAATCACACTTCAGCTGTTAGTCACAAAAAAAACACATATTGCTCAAAATAAGTATTTTTAATAAATTGAAAAATATATTTCAATAGTTTCCTTCACAATCCTATGTATTTTATGCAATTAAAACATTCTTGAGAAGTCCACAGACTTTACCAGGCTACTGAAGGAAGCTACCCCACAGAAAGGATTAAGAACCCCTGCAAACCCTATAAATTTTAGCTCTTAATTTCTATGAACACATCATATATATATATATATATATATATATATATATATATATATATATATATATATAAAGTTCAGAACAGGCAAAACAAATTCACAGTTCGGGATAGGGGGGTAGTAGTGACAGGATAGAGAGGCTTCTGGAGTGCCAGTAATATCCCATTTTTTGACCCAGATGATAGTTACACAAATGTATTTGTTGTGAAAATCCATAGAACTGTACACATATAATTCTATGCATTTTTCTATATGCATGATCTATCTTGGAAAAACAGTTTAAATATATTTTTAGCTAAGATAGACTTGAAGCTGTATTTTGGAGCTTCATTATCCTGGTATTGGATGCAGTCAATTTTAATTTTAATTTTCTAACAGGTTAAGTACCCAAAGGAGTTTATTAAAAGTAAGTAAGTAAGTAAGTAAATAAATAAATAAATAAAAAGAGGAAAAGTGATGGTGTCTCTCTGGCTTCCAGAAATTCTGACTTGGTGGTTTTGAAGTGCAATCTAGGAATCTGCATTTTAACATTCTGGTTAAAATTTTTAGGTGGTTAGGTGCACTTTTAGGTGATTCTAACATTTTGTACTCTGAAAGCACAACCTTAGATTAAAAAATTGAATGAAAAATGAAGACAGGTAAAGCCTGGTAGCTTAGATAAGGAAGCTTATTTATAGATATTCTGATTTGGAAGAAACCACAGTGGTAGTATTTTCTTGGAACTTCTCATATTCTTTCCACAATATTCCTGACAGGTGGGCATCCAATTCTTGTGTGCTTATTTCCATACACAGAATAAGCTAATCTCTTCTTCCACATGAATCCCTAAGTTACAAGACTCTTCGTAGTCTCTTCTTCTCCTGGCTTTACAGCCTTAGTCCCTTCAACCATTCCTCTCCAATGTTTCTAAACCTGCTATTCTGCTTGGCGCACAGTAAGTACTATGTTAAGTGAACGGTGCCACATCACTCTGAAACAGTAGGATCTGTCCCTTCACTTAAACAACAGACTAAACCAAGCCCTTTCTATAAACGATATTGAATTCCGTTAAACCACATCTTGATTTTGAGTCCCATCCCAGTCTTTCTAAATAATTCAGAAAGGGAATACAAACATATTAACAATACTATCCATCTTTTGAGATAAGCACACTAAGCTTTCTTCTGTACTCTGTTAAGGAGTTTTGGGAATACCACATTAAGAACAAAAAAATGAGAAAGAAATCCTAGAAAGTAACCAGCAGTCACAGAAAACAGAAAACAAACGCTGCATAACGATACAGAAAGAAATCAGAAAGGAACCACCTCTCTGCTCACTTTTATCCTTAACTGTCCCTTAAAAATATCAACCCTCCCCCAACACTTTAGCTTATCATGTATATCAAAAAGCCTCAGAGGAACGTGAAGAAGTTCTGAGCAATCCAAAGCCAACAGGAAATCAACTACCTCAACAGCTACTGATCACCTAATATGAGCACCCATAGAAACAAAGATCCCTTAAAAACTACGGAACATCACAACGTAACAGCTGCATGGAATCTCCCTCCAAATTATGATTATCAGAAGGAATGTATCCCACCATCCACTTTGTTGTCAAAAGCCATTATATACAAGCTGTGAGAATTAGGAAGATGGGTCAGTTATTTCAGGACATGCTATAAAGAACACTGGATTAGACTCAAAATTTTGGACTCTGACCATGTGATGCACATGATGCCTAAAATCGATTTACCCTTGTGCCTCAATTTCCCTACACGCCCTGCTTCTATCACAGAGATTCTGTCAAAAAGAAAACCATTCAAACGTGTTAGTTACAAAAATACTATTAAATAACAGCAGAAAATGTTACAGGAACACCAGGCTGAAATATACTCGAACTGAATGAAGACCCTGTGTATTGACCACCCAGTTTCAGATGGACAGGCAGCAAAGTGTGCCCGACAGAAGACCCTGTTTATTGACCACCCAGTTTCAGATGGACAGGCAGCAAAGTGTGCCCGACCGGATGACAGAAGGGGACCTGCCACACCTGAAGGGTAAAAGTGAGACAGAAAGGTGGGTTAAAGATGTCAAAGTTGGATGTGCAAGGTTCACTGCTGCTACAGTATGATCTTTCTTCTTAATTAAGGGCAATAAAAAAAAGTGGAAATATGTAAATCTCCAGTCAAGTGAATTTTAGCAAGGAACGCTGACACTGTAGACATGATAGTTCAAACATCATTGTGTTTTGCAAAGAGAGCTAGCATCATCATCAGGGTCTAAGAAATGCTCACTTGTTAAGCGCCAGTGTACCTTGGAATGTATGTATTAATAGCTGTGGTTGTTAGAAAAGGCTGGATTAAAATTTAGAGATCCAAGTTCTAATCCCAGAGCTTTGCTATTAAACTAAGCAATATAACTTTGTTATGTAAACTTTTGCTAGGATTTACCTAAATATTAGGAAAAGACTATCTCTAGGTTCTCTTCCAGTTTTTAAACTGTAACACTATTTTACAGACGTATAGCTATGAACTCATAAAATCTAACCTAAATATGTTAGGTATTGATATAAATGTAAGGTACATACATTTATAATCAATGACATAGACGCTGAATGTCCTGAAGACAGCATTATATTAGAAGTTCCAGTATAAGACGGGGCTTAAAAATGTGGAAAATATATTAGGTAAAATGCATCAGATTAATATTAACAAGATCAAGTTTCAAGAGGGAAAGCCAATAATTACCATCTTTGTTATTTAATCTATCCCTTAAAAATTACACTGATATTTACATTAAATAATTTTCAAAAGACACGCTACTAATCTGAGTTTCTAGATAATTAATTTTTTTTTTTTTTTTTTTGGCAGTACGCGGGCCTCTCACTGTTGTGGCCTCTCCCGTTGAGGAGCACAGGCTCCGAACGCGCAGGCTCAATGGCCATGGCTCACGGGCCCAGCCGCTCCGCGGCATGTGGGATCTTCCCGGACTGGGGCACGAACCCGTGTCCCCTGCATTGGCAGGCGGACTCTCAACCACTGCGCCACCAGGGAAGCCCTAGATAATTAATTTTTGTCTTTAACTCTTAAATGCAGTTAAGAATGACAGACAACTTACACTTTTAAATAACACAAAGCCCCCATTTGAAATGTAGGCTCTCTCAGAAACCCTCAATGTAAAGCCCTTCAAGATGGAAGTGCCTAGGAAGTAAACTTAATTTTAAATGCTTTTCTCCAAACACCCTTCTTTAAAACAAAAGTGTAGACTGCCACTAATTTTCAGTTAAAGGAAAAAAAATACACGGAAGGGCAAAAAATGCCTACGGGAAAGCCAGCTCTAAATTCTGCATAACAAAATTAACACTCACATTTTGGTTACCTAACATGAAAGACATTAGAGCGCACTGAGAGATAACATGTTGGAAGTTCTGGGTTCTGGTTGTTAGCTCTGCCACGAAGAAATCAAGTGATCTCTTAATAGCCTGGCTTTCTCATTTGTAAATAAAGGGAAATGGTAATGACCTGTAAGGTTCCATTTCGACTCTTAAGTATTTCAAAATTCTTATGGTCACATTTTTTAGCTGCTTGAAAACAGGAACAGAAAACTGATTTTGCCCCCCTTCCCACAAGATCATTCTCTGTCAAGAAAAGCTTGAGTCTTATTTTCATATTTTCTTCCAACCAAAAATAAATAAATAAATAAAAGGAGACATATTTAGTGTTTGTGCATCTTCGAATCAGACACTATTAATCATTTCTTTTAAAATTAAATTACCTACCTCACTGGGTGTTGTGAGGATTAATTCATTAGTGTTTGTAAAGCACTTTGAGATCCTCAGGTCAAAGGCGCTATAGAAGTGCAAAGTAGTAGTATTATTACTAGATTCTTGCTTATTTAAGGAATTTCACAATCCTTTAAAAGCTAACTCTGTTATGATTTAGACATCTATTTGTAAAACCCTGCATTTTATCCACATTACTTTTAACTCTTCTTGAATATCTTATAGATAGACAGGGGCAGAATGTTTGGAAACAAATGATAAAGGTTTGACTTTGATCTACAAATGGAGGGAGAGACTAAGGGAAAATCCATTGTGACAAATTTTGTTCAGCATAAAATTTTAGTGAGAAATCTTGTCAATCAGATTTAGAAGTGTGCCTAAGTTGTACCCAAAACAAAACCAAACCCTACTTTAATCAGATTCTGCAATGAGAAATTCCTTTCTTCAAAGAGAAAGGGAAACAATTTTCAAATCAACTCCACTTTAAGAGGGGTACTGAGCTTATAAATTATGTTGCATGCGTATACATGCAACTGTCATTTAAAACCTTTATACTTAAATCACAGTAATAGTATTAGTATAAACTGATGTCAAAATAATTGAGCAGCTTTTTCTTTAAACTACGCTCCCACCCCCAATTACACAAAGCAAACTATGCACTGAAAAGAGGTCAAAGCGATTTTGCTTTTATGGAATTTTAAGAGAGAGAAAAAAAAAGAGGGCCAAGGCTTTAAAACCAGTTAAAATCTTTTAGTCCATACTTCCCACCCCTTTCTCTAACCAAATCTTCTCACAATTAAATCAAAACAACACACACACGTACACATACAAACACACAAAACTAAAAGAAACAGAGCCATCTATACATTGGATACTCTGCTCGATAAACACACTTCTTTACAAATCTGCCAACATCCTCTGATGAGATTCTCCAGCATAAGCTCCAGTCCCAAGAGCAAACTGAAATTTAGATATTAAACTTTAAATACTTACCTCCTGCTCCTGTTGAAAGATGACGACTCTACCACCTTTATCTCCGGTTGCTAGTAATTCTCCAGAATGATTAAATTCTACTGTAGAAATTATATCTGCTGTATAATTGAAACAAAAATGAAAAAAAAAGACATTAGTTCTTCTTTCTCAACTCACTAGAGTTTCTTAATGAGAACTTAGCATGTTTTTCCTAATATATTCCAAGTCTATATATCAACCTGCCATCAGAAATAAAGTAAATCTAAAGTTCTTTCATGAATATTTTGGTTCACCCAGAAGAAAAAAAACTCCCCAGAGTAAACCAGTGACACTATTTTAACAAACAGGAACACAACAAATAATAAACACTAGCACTTTATTAATATTTCACTAAATTCATGAATGTAAAAAAACCAATTTGTGAAACATTCTATGACAGCACCATTAAGCATTAATATCTATAATTATTGCGCTAATTTTCTTTCTGATATACTTTTGATAAGCTTCTTTATGCAAACCCAAAGATGGTCTATAAAATTAAGACAGATATAAATAAAATGGGGAAATTTTTAAAATGTAAAAGTAAGTGCAGGTGGAAATTTAACAATCATAAATATATAAATTCAAATTACGGCTTCTTAAACAAATGTTTGCAAATAGAACACACTTATACCAGCAATGCTTTGTGCTAGGCACCTTCAACATGCACAGCTCTTCTTGTGGCTCCCAAACACAGCAGGGGCTACTACAATCAGTCATGTTACACCCAAAGTCGGTGCTAACTTCACAGTCAAGTTCAAATAAAATTATCAGGGTTTTTTCCTTGCTTTTTGACACCAGAGCCATTTTCCTAAAGAAAAAAATCTAAGTTACAGAATTGGGCAGTAAGATAAAGCAATTACACTATACAATTCACCATTTTCACAAGCATTATGCCAAATTAGGAAAGACCCTATCATATGCATGTTATATAAACAATCAAACTTTTACTACAAGAGAAGGGTCATTTTCTTGCCTATATTAGCTAACTGTAAGAATTTTAAAATGTAACTTTATATAGTAAAGAACACTGTATACTTTAAATTTTAAAACTTACTGACCAACGTATTGTATCATATCAATAACCTGTCCAGCACAGCATTCTACCATTTTCATTTTAGTGATTTTTCCAAGTTCAGCTTGATTTTAGAAAGCTTTCTTTGCTTCCTCCATTGTCTAGGTCCAAGGCACCTTACCTTTTTGGAACACTCTTGAGAACCTACTGGAAGTTCACATGCTCTCCCAAGAAACTGTACATATTTAAGTACACAAGAATTTGCATGTAATTTCAAAAGGTTTGGACAGCATCCCACCTCCAGGTTAAAACCTTTAGCCCAGACAACTCACCGTGGCCGGTGGTACCAGGAGGAAAGAATAAATCTAGTGTTTACACTGCATGCAAATGTAACACCACGGTGTAAAACTGAATATACTGTACTATTCTGTAAAGCCCAACATCAATAAATACTTAAAAGCCATTCTATTAGGTGCTCTGTACTGTATTTACTTCTGTAGAAAATATAATAAAGGATTAAAAACATACACAGTCCCTGCACTTAAAGCACATTACAGTAGTTACAGAGAGAAAGTAAGTAGGAGCTAACAATACCAGAACAAATAGTTATATCTTATCTGAAGGTTAGATTCTAAAATCAGGGAACAAGGTAAAAGCCATACATAGTAAAAATTATCTTTAAATTCAAATCCCTCAGACAGGCACCACTTTGGAAATGCAAACTCTTTCTCTTGTTCTTTTAAGTCCAACTCAGCCAATTTTCCCT